GAGGCTTATAAAGAATGGAAAAAATATTGCTGCTCGTGGATGATACATGCTTATCATATTCCTTTCATAACAAAACTCTACAAACAATGGCGTTTTACACTTCTTTTCGTCTAATGTAAATACCTCAGAAGCATAAGCATCACCTTAAACGAAAAAAACATCACAAAGGTAGCTATTATAACTTGAATGTAATCTAATCAAAGAGCAACTAAAGACAATTAAAAAAGCTCTTTCCTACATCTGCAAAAGGGAAAATTTAAAAAACATTTTTAAAATTTTAGCAGATTTCCGCTTTCTGAAGTAAAAACAAAATAACCCCCCAAAAAAAAAAGAAAAAAAAGAGGGAAACTTCAAATGAACGCTGGTAAACACTGAGAATCTGAGAGTATAAATCGTAACTGTCAGCGGCAGTACCACATGTAAAACCCGGTTGCAATCGCAATTTGAACGACATAGGCATCTCCTTTCAAAGAGCAGATTTGGGCAGTTATCACTTCCTTGTGACAGGAACTAAGATATTTCGAATCATCTAAAAACTGTCGGAAAACTGTTAGAAAATTTGCCTAAGATATGATGAGGAGAGACTTATCACCGCCGCAGTGCAATCGAGTCAATCGATATTTCCTTCCATATTGAAAGTTCGAAATAAAAGATTTAATGGAATCATAATGTCATAATTCTACCTTTCAACAACTTATTATCCACACGTAAATCGCAACTTGTCACTTGAACGAATTTTCCCATGGTTAATATGTAATCTGGATTGCTTCATGTCCTTCAGGAAAAAGGAGAGTCAAAGGTCTCTTTAATTTTCCCCTGAGGTGGCTGGCTCACCAGGAAGAAACAGGAGATCGTTCGGTCCAATAACGTTGGTCTGTAGAGATTATCAAGCTAATAACTGAGAAGATTGTGCCCTTTGGTTCATCAGTGACAGTATTAATTATTTCAAATCTGTATTTCTCGGTCCAGCTGTCACTAAAAATAGTTCCTTTGTAATTTTGTAAGTACTTTCTATAGCATTTTATTG